ATAAAATAAAATAAAAACGCACAATATCACTTTTACGTTTACCATAAATTACTGGAGGGCCGCCGTCTTCACTGCCATCGCCTGGGACACAAAGTCGATGGCTCGTCAAATTCTCAATATTTTATCCAGCTGATATTGATGAACTGAAGTATTACCTTACGACTTCAGGGAGTACAGTGATTCCGTGCGAGTGGCCGCCGGCGGCAGGTTCCCGCAAGCCTTGGCAACAATGTCCACGTGCAACGTCGCATCAACATCATCAACGGTGATTCAACGTCGAACCAACGTCATTCTTGGATATTGTGCCCACTGGGTAGTTTATTGTGCACCCCATACTCCTCCTGTGAGGGGTAGTTTAGTGTGCACCCTATACTCCTCCTGTGAGGGGTAGTTTATTGTGCACCCCATACTCCTCCTGTGAGGGGTAGTTTATTGTGCACCCCATACTCCTCCTGTGAGGGGTAGTTTATTGTGCACCCCATACTCCTCCTGTGAGGGGTAGTTTATTGTGCACCCCATACTCCTCCTGTGAGGGGTAGTTTATTGTGCACCCCATACTCCTCCTGTGAGGGGTAGTTTATTGTGCACCCCATACTCCTCCTGTGAGGGGTAGTTTAATGTGCACCCCATACTCCTCCTGTGAGGGGTAGTTTAATGTGCACCCCATACTCCTCCTGTGAGGGGTAGTTTAATGTGCACCCCATACTCCTCCTGTGAGGGGTAGTTTATTGTGCACCCCATACTCCTCCTGTGAGGGGTAGTTTATTGTGCACCCCATACTCCTCCTGTGAGCGTAAGAGCAAACAAATCAATAATCAATAAAGAGTATTAGAGAGGGCACATGTGTGTCAGTGGAGCACATATTTGAGGACTGGTCGCGAGTACTACAGCCAGTGGTGAAGGTTTAATCTGTGAAGCAGAGTGGGAAATGTCAGGTGTGAGTCAGCGCGCCGTGTTTCATCATGGTGACTAGTCGCCTTCCACCTCACCTACACAACCCTCTCTAATGCTTCTTCTGCCCTTTTCTCGAAGGTTGTGTCCCCCATTCCAAGGAGAGAGATGGGGAGGAAAGGGGGAAGAGACCCAAGTGGAGCTGGGTACCTTTTCTATATAAATAAATGGAAATGTTTGCCTGTTCGAGGTTGGAGGAGGAAGGGTAGAGAGATGGGAGGTGAAAGGAGAAAATGAGAGAGAGGATGGAGGGGGTACTGGGACAAGGGGAGAGGAAAGGGGAGGGGATAGGACATGTTGAGAGGAAATGGGAGGGAAACAGTTGGTCTGAACAAACAGTTGGTCCGACCAAACAGTTGGTCCGACCAAACAGTTGGTCTGTTTGCAGTCGTTCTGAGAAGGTGGTTCGGGATAAAGAGGCTGCAAGAGTGACCCACTGGCTGGCTCCTTCAGTGAGATTAGCATCACGAATTTCAATGGAGTCTCTTTGAACGGAAAAAGAGAAAATATTTTATAGATAAGAGATTCTGTAGTTTCATTACCCTATGGGTGAAAAATCATATTCTGTTGTTTGTCCTACAGTGTGGCTTGTTGAACTTGAAGCTGTGTGAAATGCTTCTATAGGACAGACATGCCAACCTGAGGGTCACTTCAGGTTGGCATGCCAAATCATTGCAAAATATTTGTATTACTTAAACTTAGAAACATTCAATGTGCATACAAATGATCAATGATTTAGCGGCTGTCCACATTCATGAATGCAAAGTAATGAAGTAGTTTAACACAGGAACAAAAAATGACATTTTAAACGGCAACATAGACTTTTATGCAACAGCAACAAATACATTGTACAAAAATTACAACTTTTAGTGTTTAAAATTATAATTTTTATCGTAATTATCAATTATCATAAAATTATCAATTATCATAATTATATTTTTTAGTGTTTTGTCCAGTCGTGACACCTTTTTAATGACAATTTTTGCAATGACTGGCTGAAATTTATTTATTTATTCTGAAATTTATTTATTTATTTATTTATTTATTTATTTATTTATTTATTTATATGCAAGAAGGTACATTGGGTTTATGAGAGTACATGGCATTGATGTGTTTACAGCCTTGTAAAGCCACTAACACGCTTAGCGTTCCGGGCAGGTCCTTAATCTAACATATTATTCAGTAGGTAATTTCTAGTGAAATTGAAAAATGTTAACAGGTACATTGTAAGAAAATTTGAAGAAGATTAGTAGGTACAGTATAGTAAAATTTGAGGATTATCACCAGGTATATTGTAGCATAATTTGAGGATTATTTCTAGGAATATTGTAGTAAAACATGCGTTCAATATAACAACCATGATATAAGATAATAGCAGTGATTACAATGATGAAGTTGTATAGCTTAGGCACATATATTGGAGGAGTGGGTTGCACAAGGGAAGGGAACTATCAGGGGAAAGCGAGTTTAAAGCACTAGGTAGGAAACTATGAAGATGAAATTAGATCATTTTTGGGTTTACTTTTGGTTGGACAGCTTTGGTTGGAATAGTAGGTTGGACTTCTTTTTAATTCGTTAGGGAGTGAGTTCCATAGACTAGGTCTTTTTATTTGCATAGAGTGTGTACACAGATTTAATTTGACTCTGGGGATATCAAAGATATATTTATTTCTTGTGTGATGATTATAGGTTCTATTACATCTGTTTAGGACGAGTTTCAGATCAGTATTTGCATTTAGGAACAGGGTTTTGTACATGTAAATGACACAAGCGAATGTGTGGAGTGAGTTTATGTTTAGCATGTTGAGAGATTTAAACAGGGTTGTTTAAATGTGTGTGCAGTTCCCACTTTGATCAGAAATGACAAGTTTTGATCAGAAATGACAAGTTTTGATCAGTCAGCCTTGTTCTCTGAGAAGTTTTTGTGGATGCACGAAGGAAAATAACTGTTCACACACACATAGGTAGAACCGAACATTGCCATAATCCTTGTGGTAAACTTTCTAATGTTTTTAAACTTTTCAGGAAGATATTTCCCCACTTCAAAATACTTTGCTCTGAGTGTAGAATCCGACTACATTTGTAATAGTTCTATCTGCAGGCTTCTTCTGCCTTGACAACGTCAAAGGTGAATGGTGCTGAGAATAAAGCAAAGTTGTGTTCACAAGATGAGAAATCACGAAATCTTTCCTGAAATTCCTTTGACAACCATTCCAGGTGGCTGTCATACTTATAATAATAATATTTTATTTACAAGAAAGTACAATGTACTTAGCAAAGTTAAGTACAGACTGAATATTGGCAATGTTTTTCAGCTCTTCCGCCTATGAAAATTAACAAAATTTTCATTTGACAACTGTGACTTCCATAAGTTTAGTTTTGTAATGAAACACTTGATGTCATCTTACAACTGAGTGACGAGTTTGTTTTTACCTTGTAATTTCAAATTAAGATCAGTTAATTGTACAGTAATGTCCATAGCAAAAGCCAGATCCTGGAGCCAACTTTCATCTTTGATTTCCTCTGTGTTTTAACCTGTCATCTCCAAAAGAACATAATTATTTCTTGTTTCAACAAATAAAATATTTTCAGCACTTTGTGACATGACAACCAGCGGACTTCTGTGCAGAATGGAACATCGGTAAAATGATTATCAATATCTTCCAACAACTGGCTGAATTGTCGGTGGTTGAGAGCACGTCGGCCTCTGATATAGTTCACTGTCTCTGTCGCCAAACTGTAATTCCCATTTGTCTTGAAACTCTCCCTCTTCTTCGTTCAGCTTTTTCTCTTAATTGGAAGGAACTATCTGGGGAAAGCGCCAAGCCATTACGACTATACAGCACTCGGAAGGGGTCAGGATAAGGATTTGGGATGGGACGAACGGAATGGTCCCCAACTACTTGGATGATCGGGGGATTGAACGCCGACCTGCATGAAGCGAGACTGTCGCTCTACCGTTCAGTCCAAGTTGTTGGACAATCTCTTAATTGGAGGCGCACTAGCCATTTTAAAGGTGATGTAGAACCTGAACAATTTAAAAATTAAATTAAAATGAAATCACCGGTTAAAAAAAACGAAATTTAGGCCAACTTAACAGTTAACGTCATGTCTATTTTTAGAAGTCTTAACTCACTTAATTTGTCTCACAGCTGCGATCGTGTTTCTTTTGTGCGTTTGAAATCTATTAAAATCTAAAATGTAATAGTTTAATAGTTTAAATGTAGGTGATAGTTTAAATTCAGCCCATCCTCCTGTTTTGGTAGTACTTATATTAATGATGAGGGTCATAGTATACATACCGACGTACAACGAAATTAGAAAAAATCTGAACTATTGAGTTGGACAAATCTAATTTTTTACTTGTGTTGCTTTGACAAACTAAACTAACGTACCTAACCAAACCTTCCTAGGCCTAATACACGATATCTGAGGCTTAATATAATACATATGTGTGCTATAATAGGCCTAAGAATATTTAAGTTTGTGTTTTAGCTTCATTTATTTTAAAACAGTTCCTTACTAGTCGCTGTGACTCATACGTCAGGCTGAGAGCAGCCGCGTCCAACAGCCTGGTTGATCAGTCCAGCAACCAGGAGGCCTGGTCGACGACCGGGCCGCGGGGACGCTAAGCCCCGGAAGCACCTCAAGGTAACCTCAAGGTAAGGCCTAACGGCTGAGTGGACAGCGCTCGGAATTCGTAGTTCTATGGTTCCGGGTCTGATCCCCGACAGAGGCGGAAACAAATGGACAGTTTCTTTCATCCTGATGCCTCTGTTCACCTAACAAGAAATAGGTACCTAAGAGTTAGACAGCTGCTACGGTCTGCTTCCAGGGGGTGTCTAACGAAAAGAAGGTCAGGTCGAGGACCGGGCCGCTGGGACACTAAGCCCCGAAATCATCTCATGATAAAATCAAGAAAAAGACAGTAACCGTTGGGCACGTTTCCTTTCACCTGATGCCTTTGTTCACCTAGCAGTGGAATAGGTCCCCATGGGATCGAGTTAGACAATTGGTGTGATTTGCATCCTGGGAAAGGGGACTAGGTGAGTGCATGCGAGAGCGCGCGTGCGTGAGAGTGAGTGAGAGAGGTGTGCGTGAATTAAGGTGTCCACTTGTGCCGTGGAGAGGGCGGTGTAAGGGCGAGGGACACCCGCAGTCTTGTTCATGCTCCTGGCCTAGTTCGTCACCATGCTCGTCAAGGAATTGTAAGTTGAGTCGTCAGAGCACACCACCTTGGTTATGACAGGTGGGTTAAGGTTAAGGTTAACTATGGCGACCAACCAGACAACACTTCTCAGGTTATCGATTCTACAGCTGATAGCCGTCCAGGTCTGTGCGGTATCACTCATCACCACGGGCTTTCTCTTGCAATATTAATAGTCAACTGTACACACTTTATAGTAATTAGGTTATCATAGGATTGAATAGACTGGACATAGTTGCGGGAGTATGAGGGTTGGCGCTGCAGACCGGACCTATGGGGTAGAAATTAGACCTGGCCGACACAAGGAAGATGGATTAATTCATTGAGGGTTATGAAAGTCTATTTGATAACTGCATAATTGAGGAGGAGGGGGGGATGTCCTGAGGCTGGAACTACTGTAGTTTTGGTGAAAGTGATTTATTTGGGGGCGTAACGTGTTTAGTTTCCCACCATCTGGACTCTGACTTGGATATGATAGGTTAATACTGCAGCAGGAGACAGTTTACTGCTTTATAACCTATGATATTTTAATATACAAGCTGTCTGTCAACCAGTAGTATAATTTATGTTTATTATGGATCCTAAACCCAACGTACTGGGTGGCACCAGAAAGGTTGCAATCACATGCACAGTATTAGCTTCAATGAGGATAGAGCTTTGTATCTTTGTACCCAACATGGCTTGGCAACAAGTTTTATAACCTGTCTAACCCAGCATAACTTGGAGATTTATATAATATATATAAATAACGATTAGAAAACTTGTCAAAGTGCCTGTGTATGGTTTTACTACCCATTTCAGGTAATAAATAAATATATTTTTATTCAGGAAAAGTATATACATAGTTGATTTACAAACATAATGTTGGATTTATAGATAGCGCTAGTACATACCTAAAGCACTAATACGGATAGTGTTTCAGGCAAGGTGGGGGGGGGGAACACTTAGACTAAAACTTAATAGTAATTGGGATTAGGTGTAAATCATGTTGAGAAAAGGAATAAAAAATAAAAAAGGGGTAACATGGCAGAAATCAGCAATTGTACAAGTTGGAGAACAAACAGCATTGTTTAACAAAAGTAAGACATGGGTTGACATTTAGAGGGTAAGGTAGGTTACATGGAGTTACTGTAATTGAGTAGCACTTGGTTTTACTCTTAAACTGATTGAGAGGTACAGCCTCTGACATGATTGGGGAGACCATTCCACATTCTGGGTCCCTTGATTTGTAGAGCATTTCTAGTTTGGTCAAGTTGCACTCTTGGAATACCAAATAGGTACAGTATTTGTTTCTAGTGTGATGCCCATGAGTTCTGTTACAACCTTCTAGGAAGCTTCTAAGGTCAGGATTTACATTGCAGTTCAGAGTTTTAAATATATAGAATACGCATAAGAGGTGTGCAGTGACTTAATATCTTGCATATTCAAAGATTTGAGTAAGGGTACCAAGTGCTGTCTGGGGCCAGAGTTAGAAATTGTTCTTATAGCAGCTTTGTGTTGAATAATTAGAGGACGTAAATGATTTTGTGTAGTAGAACCCCAAGCACAAATACCATAATTGAGATAAGGATAGATGAGAGAGTAATAGAGCGTCACCAGGGCAGGGCGAGGTACATAATATCTGATCTTAGAAAGAATGCCAAAAGTTTCAGAAACTTTTTTTGATACTTTTAGAATGTGTCCCTGGAAATTTAGCTTGTTGATGAGAACAAGGAATTTTCCATCTTCTTGTACTTTGTTACTAATTTGGATATTATTTATTCTTAAATTAATTTGATTAGAGGATTTATTGCCAAACAAAATATAGAAAGTTTTGTCAATGTTAAGGGCAAGTTTGTTAGCAGTTAACCAAAGATGGACTTTTAGTTCAGTGTTCACTGTGACATTAAGAGCAAGAGGGTCAGGACTGGAGAAAATGAATGTTGTGTCGTAGGCAAATAGAATGGGTTTGAGGTGTTGAGAGGCATTTGGAAGGTCATTAATGTAGATGAGAAAGAGGAGAGGGCCAAGTATGTTGCCCTGAGGAACACCAAGGTTGATGGGTAGGGTGGGAGAAATTGAATTATTCACAGAAACATACTGGAGCTTGTCAGTAAGGTAAGGCTGAAGATATTGGAGGGAGTGACCTCTGACTCCATAATGATGTAATTTAAGAAGAAGGTTTTGGTGGTAGTGTCAAAAGCCTTACGTAGGTCAACAAATAACCCAACAGGGAACTCATTTTTATCAAGAGCTGCATGTATCAAGTTAATCATACTAATAAGTGCATCGTTAGTGCTTTTTTTTGGGTTAGGTGCTTCGTAAACTTCGTCTAGGTGCTTCGTAAACTCCAATATTGTTTTAGCTAAACAATTTACTATGTTTAACTAGTCATATTTTAATTTGTATTTGACTCGTGCATTCCAACCCTCAACACTTATCCAGTTAGTTTTATTTTATTCTACACCACATATATACAGTATATCCTAAGAGCATTCTAGCAAATGCTAGAGGTAAATAATTGCAGCATTAATAGTAAAAGGTAGTGCAGTAGACTCGATCAATTTGATAAGAGTTCAATTCCCGTGCAGGGAGAGGCTCAATGGTATATTTTAGATTTAGGAATGATGTAAATACTGGTTCGGTAACAGGGTTGTTGATTTGTGGAACCGATTACCGCATAACATAATAGAAGTAGGATCCCTTGCATGTTTCAAGCGTAGGTTAGACATATATATACAGTACTGTATATGAATGAGATTGAGTGGACATAAATAAGAGCTGCCTCGTATGGGCCAATAGGCCTTCTGCAGTTACCTTAATCTACAGTTCTTATGTTTCCTTATACCTGATGCCTCCTGTTTGCCAAGCAGCAAACAGGAACTGGAGAGCATGTAGGCTGTTGTAGGTATTATCTTTGGAAAAAATCAGTCATTGGCCTTATTGTGACCTCAATAAACCTAACAGGTTTCTTGTCCCTAATATTTTTAAGCCATACATTAAATGTTTATACTCTATCCACTTGTTGTTAGCTTATTGGAGCCCAATGCCCATGTTGTAACCCACACTCATACAGCAGGATACATGCTAAAAGTAGCATTTAATAGGCTGTTAAAACTAAACAAGGCTACAGTACCTCATCATGTACAGAAATGTTCTTTTGTTTTAGTTTGGATCTCGTTAGCAATTTTGAGTTAGATTGGGTTTAAAATAGTGTGAATGGAAATTATGGTACAGAATGTACCTGAGGGCCACTATCTCACAAATGGCCTCGTTGAGGGAAGGAAGCTGATGGCTTGTCAGAGGTTTCAGTGAAGCAATTTGTTCTGATGATTTTGTTGAGCTGGATTTCAGAATTCAGGAGTGTTTTGGCATTTACGGATTTGGTGGGTGTTGGTGGGAGTGTTTTGCAGTTTACACTGACAGCTTTCCATAAACAAATTATCATAGGGAAACAACACTTGACTTGTCATTTATTGGTTTCTTACATGGTGACCAGCAGAGACAGCAAGTATGGGAATTACTGCAAGTGTTGACCCTTAATGCTGATTATTAAAGAATAATTTGTATGTTCCATCATATTTTGTGTGAATATTATACAGTTGGATAGACTGAATATAGTTTTTATTTTCAAACTACTGTACTGTAATTTACTATATTAATTTGTGTACCAGTAAAATGTTTTGGGAATTTTCTTCCTAACACTCACATTTAAATTTTAAAGAAGTCTTTGGTTTTGATATAGAATATAACACTTCACTCAATCTGAGGATTGTACTTGCATCATTTTATTTTTTTCAGTCGAGTCATCCTTCCAGTCACAGTTGAAGAGGTATGTTCTTGGTACTGTACATCATACTATTTGTTCTTATTTTGTACTTTTAAGGAACCAAAAACAATTGCTACTGTGTTAAGAATTTATACTGTAGTTTTGAGAACATTAACATAAATTGTTGTATTCAGCAACAAAGGAATGCAGAAGAGCTTAATATGAATGTAATTTGAGAAGATGAGGGAAATAGTTTGAGTGTGCTGATTTTCATTTAGTTTGAAGGCTTTTTGAAAACTCATCATTAGTACTGTACAGTACAGTACTAGTACTTTATTTGGAGATTTGGAGAATTAATTTTGTTAATGAAATGTCAGGTGTTTTATGTGAATGTCTTGTTTGTATTTCCAGCAATGCTTCCCTCACCTCCATATGAGTGGCTTCCCACCTCATGAAAATGGGAAACCCTCATTAATTCCACCAAGTATTTTCCTTCCATATTTTTGTGTGCAGCATTAGACACTAGCTTAGCATTCCTAACCAAATATTTTTTGTATACCTCCCAAGCCATTTTTTTTAATTGAATCATAATTTTTTCCTGCCTAATTTTTTGAAGTAATTCTAGAGAGCTGCAATATTTAAATGTGAGGGCTGATGCTCTTATTTCATGTCTTAATTTATTAAGAGTGATTATAATTTCAACACTGTCTTTACAGTATCAAGTGGCACAGTTGTACAGTGTAGCTGAAGCGAGTAAAAATGAAACAGGTGGAGGAGAAGGCATTGAAGTTCTCAAGAATGAGCCCTTTGACAATTATCCATTACTTGGGGACAAGTACAGCAAGGGACAGTACACCTACAAAATCTACCACCTTAAAAGGTAGGGTTCATTGGGTTAGTGTATAGCACATTTAGATACAGTATATATGAACTAAAGGATTTTAGTTGGCATGTTTTCAGTCACGGTGGCCCAGCCACAAACTTCTTCACAGTATATTGGGTCAGAATTGGCCGTCTATGAACAAAAGCTGAATGTCTACAAGATAAGCCTCATCTTGCAAAATCCTTAAGTCAAACTAACAGCATAGTAGTGTGTTCTTTGTCACTTGAGTGAGAGTTTGGTCGACGTAGGTATTGACAACACTCCGCTTGTACCTAGGAATATTACATAGGAATATGCCTTAATGCTAATAGTGACTGCCCGGACAGGTACAAGCAGTGCTGTCAACGCCTACGTCAAAAGAGCTCTCACTCGTAGCTCTGGTTGGAATCAGGTCTACGAGGAACTCTGTAGAGTAAGGCAGATCCTAGTCAATAATGGTTTCTGTTATGTTGAAGATGTCATTAAAAGGTGACATGCCATGCGACCTATGAAGAAGCAACCAAAACAAAACCTGTATCTCTTATTAGATTGTTTTATCGGAATTTCTTTTCCACGGCTTATAAAATGAAGGTAAGAGTCCTGAAAGATAGAGAGCAATGTTATCCCTACAGACACCAATCAGAAGATATCATTAACAGTTTACTGTAAAAGCAAGACGACCACCAACTTGCTTACGAAGAACTCTCCAGACACCAAGTAAAACGCCTTGAGAGGCTGGCAGACCCAAAAATATTCAAATTTAATGAAAATTACTTAAAAATGCTGTACAAATCTCCAGTTACTTGCCAAAAGCGTCATGAAAATTTCATCCCAATATATTGAGAAATGGATTTTTTATGAATATTTAAAAAAAAGTCTGATTATAAAGAGAACAGCTTCTATTAAGTGGAACTGAGGAATAATGCAGTGATAGAGATGCAAGGACCAATCAAACGCACAAAAAAGAATATTAGTAAGGAGGGCTCACAAAGTGGATATGCAGCAGACTAGCATTACTGAGTAATGCATAATAACACAAATAATAATGAGTACTGTATGTTATGCTGTATTTTGTTACAAATCATATAAATGCATCACCCAGTATCAATATGTTAGCTTCACCAATGTCCAACAGTGGTTTTTTTATATAAATAGTTATATATATATATATATATATATATATATATATATATATATATATATATATATATATATATATATATATATATATATATATATATATATATATATATATATATATATATATATATATATATATATATATATATATAATGTCGTACCTAGTAGCCAGAACTCACTTCTCAGCCTACTATGCAAGGCCCGATTTGCCTAATAAGCCAAGTTTTCATGAATTAATGTTTTTTCGTCTACCTAACCTAACCTAGCTTTTTTGGCTACCTAACCTAACCTTACCTATATATATAGGTTAGGTTAGGTTAG